AACCCTCACCTTGCTTCTGGTTTCCATTTCATCCCCCAGTCCCATCCAGTTTCATCCTATAGCTCTGTGTTACTGATAGCATGAAGCTCATATTCTAACATTGTTTTTTTTGTTGTTTTTTTTTTTTCTTTTCTGCAGTATTGCACAACCTAATGGCTTTGGGGCAGGAAGTCCTTCACATTCCTCTTCATTACATGCCAAAAGAAAGTGCACATAAGCTCACAGAGAGGCAAACTGGTGCCCTCCAAAACACAACAGGCTGGCCTCCTACAGCCCAAGATAAGAATTTATGCTGTAAAGGAGGACAGAGAAGACGCTGCATGTGCAGCTTATCTGAAGTAGGGGGAAAAAAAGGGGGGAGGGGGGACTGCAGCAACCTCCTACTGTGCCAATAAATCCCACCTCATGCATCATGCCTGCCCCCCTACCCTCTCTAGTCACACGCACTCACGTCCTGCCTGCACTTCAGCTTAGTTTTTGTCCTTTCCTTGTTCAATTTCAATATCAAAACTAAAAACAAAGCTGCAGCTCAACTAATTTCCCTGGAAAAAAAGACACAATATTCAAACCAGAAGTCACCCCTCTTAAATGTACGGCAAAAGGGAGATCTGCCCCAGGCAACATCAAGGTCACGCTTATTCTTCTGACCGCAGGGCTCCCACATGGTTTCAGTGCACAGCAGAGCCCTTCACCCATTACAAGGGCTGCCCCAACTCCCTCCCGAGGCGCTGGGGTCAAAACTCCCCAGCACCTCTGGCATCCCCTCCTCGGCCAAGCTCCTCGGAACAGGAGGAACTGAAAAATAACAAGCCCGCAGCTAGCAGGGCAGCCCCTGTGTTTTATTTTATTCTTGCGAGCGCTTTCACCCAAATCACCCACGTGCGACTTAATGTTGATGCCTCCAGCTCTGAGGGGTCCGGGATCCCCCCAGCGCACGCAGAAACGGTCCCACAGAGGGGCAACAAAGCCGGCACTGTCACAGGGATGCACAAAGAAAAGTTTGCTTGTGAGTATGACCCACGTGCATTAAAAAAATGACAAATAAGAGCAGGAGGGGCCAGGCCCCACCTGGCCGCGCACGGCTGGGCAGGCGGCGGCACTTCGGGGCTGGAAAGGAACCGCTGTCCTACCAGGCCAGCGCTGGCCTGACCTCAGGAAGTAAGGTATGTACTTGCAGACGTTTATTTACATATACATCAATAAACATACAAAACGCACGCGTTCACATGTAAAATAAACATGATATTTATAAATACAATTTCACCAGCGGAGCAGCTCTAACTTCTCAAAATTCACTCCGCTACGGGAAACCGCCCCCCGCCCCC